AAGCTCAGGTAAAGAAGTTGTAAACAGTGACTTTTACAATTTTCTTCGTGATTCCCACAAATTGCAATATTTTCAAAAAATTTGATACACGTCGTCTAGTATACCAATCCTTCTAACTTCTCAAAAAAACTCAAGTCGTTTGATCCAATTTAAAAAAAATTATACTGTTCTAAAGAGTGTCCGAATATTAGTAAGAGTCACTGTACATACACTACCGGCCAAAAGTTTGGAATCACCGAGCATTGCAATTTACACAAAAATTTCCAGAAAAAAGTCGAGCGACTTTGAGAATTTTTTATCGTTCGAATCAATTGATGTGAGATAAATTGATAAATGTAGAATTGAGATAAACTTCAAATCTATAAAAAATTAGCGGCAGATTTAATATTGATGAAAAGTGGAAGGCAGGAGGCTAAAAACTAATCTAATTTACATAAATTGAAATACTAACACATATATTACATAACACACCTTATAAGTAACAATTAACAACATTAACTTACTTTTTTCTTGATTATGCAGTGAAACGATTTCGAATGAAGTGTTCTTTAAATACATTTATCATTATTTCGCATTCCATTTACCTACAGTCGAAGCTTCGCACACTGTTACTCAAATGACTATTAATCTATTCACCTATTTGTACATCTGGTCAAAATTAAACCATTTGGATGTCTATCTTTAGACCAAGTCGTACAAGCTGACCTACTAATGATAAGCCAATTAACGATTTCACAATGGAACATTAAACGCGAATCAAGATCATTAATGATAAATATAAATATTTTGAAGTACCTACATTCTCTCTTATTTGCAATCTTCGAATAATTCGATAAATGAAAAGAGGAAATAGTATTTTTTGCAACATCGAGAAGAACAATTAACGTGATGGGTGTACAGATGTATTTTGCAATTAAGTTTCGCGAATCCTTAATGAACATTTGCATTTGGGAAATTCTGTGAAACTGGTCTAGAGACAACAATAGCAGAGGCGACATTGACCTCGCAATACGTTCGACTCCGTTGCAGAGAACATAGTAATTCAGCTCACGACCTTTGGCAGTAGATCCTAAGAGACGTAAATCGCAAGACTAAATGATGATCGGTTGACGAGTTGAATCGATAACGAACGATAACAGAAAACGATGCAGTACGTCCCCTATTGTGTCTGCCTTTGATAACGTTCACCCACTGATACTCAGTAAATAGGATAACATGTTAAAGCTGTGTAATATTTTTATAACATTTCTGTGGTTTCTCGCTACTTATTTTTCGTTGAAAAATAAAATTGCAGGCGTAACAGTTTAAATGCGATTAATTTTAAGGAAAATTTTGAATTAGTAATGAGTTTCTAAATACCTCGTATTTGTAACTTTTCTTTTAAGTCCTGTGATAAAAATGTTTAGAACGATGTTCCTGTATTTTAATTTGCAGAATTATATTTTGGATTAAAATGCTTCCAGAGATATATGTATGTATTTCCTTTTAAAAATTGAAATTTAACTTTGCGAAGGGAAATACAGAAACAGGAATGTTTGAATATTTTGAATTCGTTAAAAAATTATTATAAAAAATGCGTACATGTAGCTTCAATATTTTTTTTAACATTATTTTATTTAGAAGCAACTTTTAGAACTTTTAAAACTTTTAGAAACAACATTATTTTATTTAGAAGAAACGAACAATTATCATTATTTTATTTTAGAAACAACCTTAATTTACAATTTGGGGACAAAATTTTCACAAACAACTATGACGTGCTACGAGGACACTCTAGAATTAATTTTTAAGATTGCTAGGTAATGGTAAGATAAGTTTCTTTCAAATAAAATTTGTCGTTTTCAGTGACAACAACAAAAAGATTTAGATAATCTTTCCTGATTTATTAACGCTAAAATATTTAGTCTC